AAGGTAATTATATAAGCTACTACTTTTATTAAATATATGCTAGTTATATAATATTTTTTATATTATATTTTTAAAACCTTATTAAGGTAATTTATTTTAAGTACTAAATATTAGTCTTATACTAGTAAATAATAAAAAAAAATATTTTATTAAAAAAATTCCTAATATTTATAAATATAAAAGCAAAGTATAATACCTTATAAAATAACAAGGTTAAAATAATATAAAAAATAATATATGGGAGCTAAAGGCTTATATAGCTAAAATTATAATACTTAATAAATTTAAGTAATCTTATAAAAATAAATTATAAAGGGTAAAAAAAAAGTATATTTAAAAGTCTACTTTTTATAAGCTATAAGTAATTATAAAAAAAAAGTATATTTTATTTTTACTAATTAGCGGCGCCCGCAGGGCCTTTAATAAAAAAAAAAAAAATAAAAAAAAATAAAAAATAAAATAAAATAAAAAAATAAAACTTAAATAAGCACCTAGGCGGCGCAGCGCGCAAAACCTTAAATACCTAATATAAAAATAACACCTAGCAGGGCATTAATACTAACCCCTAATATAAAAGTTAATTAAATAATAACCCTAAATAGCGCTATAGCGCAATAAATATTAAATTAAAAAAAATATAAATTTATAATAGGGTTAGTAATATAATATAAGGTAAATTAAATATATAAATATATAATTAATAGCTAAAGCCGCGCTAGTATAAAGGGTAAAGGTAGCTATTAAAGTAATAATAGTAAATAGCCTAAAAACATAAATAAAAACTGCACGTAGTATTAATATAAATAATATTAGCAAAGTATAATTATAATTTATAAGTAATAATATTATCGCGGACCACACGGGCACTAGTTAAAAAAAAATTTTAAATTAAATATTAATATAACTAAACTAATAAAAAAAATACCTATGCTTATAGTTATGGTAGCCTAAATAGCTATAAAAAGGGTATTATAAGTATTTTTTAATATTATAATATTTATATTTTTTTATAAATTATTATTATTAATATATATAATATTATATAGGCCTAGGACCCGGAGTAGTTTTAGCTAAATTATAATTATATTAAATATAATATACTTTACTAGGGTTTTATAATTATTTTTATAATAATTATATTTTTTACCCGCGGGCTTAATATATTTAAAATAGTAAGTTATTACTTATATATAAAAATAATAATTAATTTTTTAGGTAGTAAATAGCATGTATTAAAAATAGCAAGCCTAAAGTAAATTAAGGGGTAGTAAAGTAAAAAGGGCTAAGGTAATAATTAAAAAAGTAACTAGGGGAGCGGGGGCTAGGGCCAGGAGTTATATTAAAAGTATAAAAAAAATAATAATAATAAAGTTAATAGCAGGGGCGGCAGCGCAAGCGTGATAAAAATAAGTAATTTTAAAAAATATATTAATAAAAATAAAAAGTAAAGGCTAAAACCAAGGCTTAACTACTATAATAAAAAAATATAAAATAAAATATTATAATAAGCTAAATAATTATTAATAATAGTATTTAAAGCATAATATAAAATTATATTAAATATTAAAATAAAAAAAATATAAAGTAAAAAGCAAGCGTGGGAAACCTTAAAAAATAAAATAAGGTTAAAAATATATAATATAATAAAGGCTATAATAAAGGTAAACCGCGTTTAATTTAACTATTAAAAATAATTTTAAAAATATAAAAATAAAAAAATTAAATATAAAAAGCTTATTAATTAAATTAAAAAGGTAAGTACGTAGTAAGGCATAAAAAAAAATAAATAAAAGGCTAATATAGTAATATATTAATAGTTAAAATAAAATAACCATATATTATAAATAATTACTAAAAGTATTAAAAAAAGTGTAAAAATAAGAAGATTTAGCTATTTAAAACTTAAAGCTTTATTATAAAAATTAAGTATAAAATAAAATAAAATATACAGGCCTAATAATACTAACATATAACTAATATTATTAAAATAAATAACACCGCGCTTAAAAAACATGGAAAAAAATAAATATAGGGTATTTTAACTTTAAAAATATAATTAAATAATTAAAAAATAATAAAAATATAATAAAAAAGGTATATACTTATAGGTGTTATCTTACTTTAGGTATTAAAAAAATTTAAAAAAAAAAAATAAATTACAAGGGTGTTTTAGTATTAAAATTAAAATATTATGCCTAGCCACCGCAGGTAGTAATATTATATTTAAACCTAATAATAAAATAAGGTAATTAAATTAATTTTTTACCCCTAACTTTAAATATAAATTATATATAAACTATAATACTTTATAAACCTAGAAATAGCTTATTTTATAGCGCTTAATAAAATTTATAATTTAAATTACTTTTTATAAAAAAAAATATAAATTTATGGATTGCAAGGGCGTAATTACTTAAAAAAAAAGTATTATTATTACTACTATAATATTATAATTATATAATATTATAATAACGCAATCCAGCGGCCTAAGGCCACTTAATAAAAAAACTTTAGCACTAATTTAACCGCGCGCTAAGGTAGCAGTTAGTTATATAATATATAAAATACTAAGTTTAACTTAGAACTTTAACTTAAAAAATTAGTAATTAATTCCTACTATAAATACACAACACTTTCCTATTGCGGTAATTCACGTTCTCCTAATCTCAGCGCAGTATACAAAAGCGCCTCACAATAAGGAAAATACAGGTTATTAAAAAAGTTATTTAGCTTTATTATTTACTAGAAAAGCTTATAAATACTTAAAAGGTAAATTTTATAGTTATTATAATTTATAAAAATAATAAAAATACTATAGCATTAGCTAGTAACCCCTAGTTTTATACTTAAAGTAAATATATTAATATTTAGTATTACTTTATTTAAAAAAAAGCTAAAGGTGTTATTAATATTTAGTTTATTTTTATTAAAAAATAAATAATAAATAGCTTTACTAAGCCACTAGGGCCTAAGGTATTTAAATACTTTAAAGCCTTATTAATATTTTTTTTAAACTTATGTAAGTAGGTTTTCTAGTAGTTTTTATATTAAAATTAGGCTTTTTTATATTAAACTTATAATAATTTATATATTATAAAATTATATTTAATTATTTTTATTTCTAGCCTATTATTATTTTATTTTTATTTTTAGGAATTAACCCTGTGGTAAAGGTAATATAGTATTATTTTATTTTAAAACCTTATTTTAGTTTTATATAATACCTTAACTATAGTACTAAAGGTTAATATATTTTTAGCCTAGTTTAATAAAATTCCTAGTGCTTTTTATATTTACCCATAGGAAATATTATTTTTAAATATTAAAATATAAGCTTATTAGCATAACTAGCTTATTAATTACTTTAATTAAAATCTTTATTTAATATTTTTTTAGGCTTTAAAGCGCGGCTACACCATATAATTAATAACTTTTAAAACCTTAAAACTTTTTTAAATTAAATAATTAAATAATATTATTAGCTCCTAGCACTTGTGGGCTATTATAATAATTTTATTTTTTAATAAAAAAAATATTATTATTTAAAATTATAATTCTTATTATAATCCTACTAGCCTATACCTTAAAAACTTTATATTTAAAGTTTAATTATACTTACTATAGTTACTAGGCTAATACTATATTATTTAAAATATATAATATTATACTAACACCAAGTTTTTTAAAAAAAATTAATACCTAAAATATATATTTTAATAAGTTTAATATATTATTATACTAGGTAATTTACCTTATACTAAGAATTAAGATTCTTAAATAGCTTATTATATACTAGTTTATTATTACTAGCTAATAATTTTTATATAAACTAGGCCTTATTTTTATTTTTAAAATAACTTTTATATACTTTAATATTTATTATTACTTTTTTAATTATAAAAATACTATAAAATTTATAAAAAAGCTAGTAAACATGCTAGCTAGTTTTTAAATTTATAAATTACTTAATTTATTATTTAKTATTTATTTTACTTTTAGGCCCCTTAGTGCCCGGAGCTTTTATTAAAAGTTTACTTATTTTATATATTTTATTATTATTTACTTATATTTTTAGGGACTACTCCAGCCTATTAATACCTAAAGTTTTTATTAATACTTGCTTTTTTTATTATTTTAATTACTAGCTTTTTAATACTTACTTATAAATTATACCTTTAAAAAAGCTTTTTTTAGTACTAATAGCCTATAGCTTATTAATTTAAAAAAAAACTTTTTTTATACTAGTAGCTTATAGCTTATTAATTTAAAAAAGTTTTTAATATAAATAAAAAAAGTACTAAAAATAAGTATTTAAGGCTACTAGTGGCCTTAGGGCTTTAATAAAAAAAGGTTTTTTTAACTTAAATAATTACTATAAAACTCTTTATTTATCCCTAGAATATCTAGCTTAGTACACCAAGTAATAAAAGAGACTTCTACATACAGTAACTATTTATTCCTTTTAGTAGTTCGGTCATAGAACCTATGGCCAGTTGTCAACGTTTGCTAAACTCGATTTAGTTCTCCCTTGGTCCAACCGCTGGGGTCTCATTGCAGCAACATGGATTAGTCAAGTTCACGCTCAAGGCTATCTGGACTTTCCAGCCCCTGTTGCGCGTGGAGGCTGACGAACATAGCCTTGGACACAAGAGGAGTACAGCAATTAACGCACGTTCTTGTAGGGACACCTAGAGTGGCACTTTAATAGCAGATGGAGCCGTGCAGACGGTTAGATCAGCGTCCTACATCAGTTTGCACGCAAGGCATTTCACGGCAGTGCCACCGGTCGGTTACATGAGGAACAATATGGCTACTGAGCAAGGGTAATATCGAGAACAGTCTGACGATTGTAAGCAGCAATTGCAATGATAGACATCCTTGACAATCCCTTCAGAGGGACACCAGTGAAAGCAAACTGAACAACTATGTTGAATAGTGCAGTTAACATCGAGAACAGTCATAGAATAATACCAAACCGAAAACCACCTCCATTGTGGCTCCTAATCAGCCCCAGTTACAGAGACCAATAGACGCCAGTGCTCAGGCACAACCGATAGGAACCAACTCCCGAGCGAGAGATCATCGTCAAGGGTCTGGAGGATGGCTATCTCCGACTCGATGACACTAGCATCTCCGACCGTAGCTATGTCGATGGTGCCATAAAGCTCCACAAAGACCGCTATGGCAGGGCCTTCGATGGACTCCCTGATCTTGTCCGCCACAGTCTTCGTCATTTTACCTTCTTCCACCAGCGCCTTCAGCGCATGTTTTGCATTGCGGTCCTCGCACAACCCGCCCTTCAACTTGTCAACATAATCCTGGAGGTTTTCGGGCGTCGCCACGCCCACCACGCCAGCGTAAGCCTTACGGAACAGGTCGATATCGTCCTCGCCGTCCTTCTTGCGCGCGAGATCGTGCTCTATCAGTCGTTTGATTATGATGGCCGCATCACCCAGTGTGGCCTTGGCAATCGTCAGTAGATGCGCGTCTTTTTGCACCCCAGGTCTAGAGGTGAACAGCTGCAAATAGGGTACTCACTGGAGGCACCTCCTTAGCGAAGTCCGACAATGCTCCGCTACTGGCGTCGGTCATCATCGGCGACACGGCCTTATAATCGATCCTGCTAGCATCCTCGGCCGTAACGAAGGCGTGGCATGCCAGGGTGTACGCTTGTAGACGATGGGCGAGAGCGCGAATCGTGAGGTCGGAAGGGGCCTCTTCGCCTTCTGCGGGCTGGTACCTCTCTCTGATAGCCTTCTGCGACTCGTCCACCCTCTCAGCACACATCTGGATATTGTTGAAAAACCACTCTTTATCTGAATCATCAGAGGGAACAGATCCTATAGTGATCGGAGGGGCATTTCCGTCTGGAGCTGTGTTCCAGGTGCCCATTGTGCAAGGCTGGAAGGTTGAGAAAAGAGGCAGAAGACTACAGATGGTCAAGGTGACGGTGAATAGAAGACAGGTGGTTTGGAAGGGCAGATTGCTTTGCTGGATGGGCAATTGCCCGGAGACTCGTGCTCAATTTATTCCTACCTGGTGCTGGGCTGACGCGACGAGGGCGTGGTGTCGATCTCGCAGGAGACGGTGGATGATTGGGGCATCGCGGCTTCCGGTTTCTCGCCGTCGGAAAGTCAGTTATCCGGGCTGAAGAGCTGGATTCTGACGTGGAATCCGGAAACCTGGAGCTGGGGGATCCGGATCGCACAACTCTGGCAGCCAGTCAGATCAAGCAGGCTCATGGTGCAATCCTAGGCCCATTTCTCACGCAGGGGTGACCCCAGCGCAACGGCCAGTCGGGAAGAAAGCAGCCGGATGTGCTTGTAATCCGTCAGATGGGAATGGTAGGGTGGCATCCACGCAGGCAAGAGGGTAGTAAGGCCCGGGGTCAGACGACCTCCGTAAAAAGAAACGAAACATCATCCGGTGAAAACGCAGTCCCATTAGCCAACAGCGTACCGCGACAGCRATTCCGGCGTTCAGCCTTTGACTTTGGAACACCTGTACATGAAGCTCTGGATATGATATGCACAACTCTAGTCTTGGTACACTGGTTCTTAGCCACCCATCCATGGATTACTATTCCTACCTCATCATGATCCTGGGGGCCATATCAAGAAAGATTCGCTCGGACCCTGGGACCCTGTGATCCCTTATCTTCCGAGATATATAGAGTTTTTGATCGAGGATTCAGCCTGAAAAAGAGGAACAACGGATGGCCCGCCTTGATTCCAAGGTTAATCTGGTGCTGGCCGCATTCCGTATATCATGGTACCCTCCACATCGACCTGACTCAGTAGTGAAAGATGCATCCCCCGGTCGTGGTGGCCTCCCAGTAGACCGATTCGCAGGGTTACGCGGTACACCAATAATCGACGGAATCAGTGTCCACAAACAAACTGGCCAAGGCCCGTTCTGAAGCGGCCGCGTAGAGTAGTTTTGAATAGTAATTTAGGGTTCAGTGGCCTTGGTGCTGTCGGGTATAGGGTAACTAAAAGTGTCTGCCTTGATTACGGATGCCGGCAAGCGTAAATGCCAAGATAGAGTCGTTCATGGTATGCGGGTGTCTTCCATGGTGACCGTCAACGCAACTTGGAGTAAAGATAGGTGATGGATGACTGGAATGGGCGTGAGCTAGGGGTGCTCGGGGGTGGTGAGGTAGGGTATGGTACCCTATGGAGTTAGGATTGCGGCCGGGCAATGTATGTAGGTCAGTTACCAGGCTTGCACAGGGAATTCGAAATAGTAGATTCTTTCACAGTTGGATGATTTTTGGCTGCTATCTTGTGGGATCCATGACTCGTAAGAATATAGCGAAAATGTCTATGAGCACTTCGGAACAGACAACAATTAGTAACGCCGTTGGTAGAGCGGGGGCAAAAGGATTTTGGATCCAATGGATCTTAGAAGCCAACAGTTTTGTGCTAAACCTCGAGGTCATCAAGTCTTGATTTGAGGCGCTCTCTATAGGCTCCTCTTACCTTCTAGACTGGGTGCTAAGAAGTCGACATAGTCTCCACAGCCGCATTGCCCTGTTGGCTCTCCGCGCTTAAAGAGCGCTTATGGTACCCTAGGCTTTGACGTGACGCTGGGCTAGGGATGGTGAAAGGCCGTCTGTGATATCCTATTCTGTAAGGACATAGTCGATAGCGTCTGTACGGGCCAGAGGGTGCACCTGCTGGGCTAATTAAACGATGACAAGGCCTCGAACGGGGCCCAGCAGTCTAGTGCGATACCCATGGGCGTATACCATATGGATGAACAATGAAGCTATATGATTGGATGGGCTAATTTCAAGCAGGCAACGCGGTAACCCCTGCCGTAGGTATAACATGAGCTGCGTAGTGGGAGTTACCGGTTGGCCATATTCTCCAACCCAAATGCTCACTTGCAGGAGACTATTGACCTTGCTGCAGCTTCTGGCCTTGGCAGAACCTAATTGACTCAATTCGTGGGTCTGGATGTGACACGGCTCTCGACGGCTGGAAAGGCCTTCTGCTCTGTTTGACGGTACCCTCCACACCCAGCCATCTACAGCGTAGGTAGGGGTTAATGGTCGATGGTCTATTACACAACTACGCTACTCCGTACTGGGTATGTGAGCAAAGAATTGCAAAATGGCGCTCCGGAGTGGACACTGAAACTGACCAGGAACGCGGTGTAGGCAAAAGCAAACCCTAACTCTGGCTTGGCTTCTGAAATTTGCGGCACATCGCAGCAAACCCCGCGGTTTCCAGCCAGTCAAAGTACCCTCGGTATGCGGGTACTTCGCATTGTCACTGCTGATCTTCTGCTCGACCTCCAATTGTCTTCCCCGGATCCCCGCGTGAGGAGGATGGTGATTGTTGACACTTGACAGATCCAGAGCAATCTCTGGGTCTCTGCACCTATGCCCAACCCCAAAAGCAAGGGATTTGCCCCTGACTTAGCCCTGGTGACTGTTAAATAGGACGCTTCCTCCGAATTGAATCGCTTCACTTCCTCACCTCCTTCTGTTTCTTCGCGCGAGCCGTCACTCAATCGATCAAGTCGCGTCGGTCGCTCGTTTACACGCATATCAGCACTTCCGGTATAACTTTTTAATCATGAAGCTCTCCATCATCACTTTGCCAATCCTCGGCTTCCTCGCCTCCAGCGCTGCTGCAGTCAAGATCGTAAGCTCTCGAGACTCCCGGACTATCCCTCTCCACCATGAACCACCACTAACCACACCTCTCAAACAACAGGACACCAAGAGCCGCGACGGCGAGGTCTCCACGACCTTCGTGCCCTTTGGCGAGTGCGGCAACTTCCCTGAGCCGTACGCTCTCTCCATTCCACCAGAATACAGGATGCCCTCCGCTGATGCTTTCCTACCATCTGCAGTGCCGTCGCCGCTCACACCGTCGCAACCCCCAAGCTCGACAAGAGCAAGTACTACCTCTGCATATTCTTCGAGTACGTCCCCTCCGCGTTACTCTTATACTTGGGATAATGTGCTGACGGTTGAGCTACAGCAAGCCCGACTGCCGCGGGACCAACGTCGGCAACGCGAACGAGGGGAAGAAGTCGCCTGAGTTGAAGAAGTGGGCCAAGTCGGCGCACTGCTTGAAATAGGTGGCATGGGTATATGTCTGGTCGGGTTGAGCGCAGTATCCGCGTACTGGGTTCGGCGCATTTGGGATGGAGAAGTGACGGTGTGCCGGGTGGCATGCATTGCCAGCGAGAAAGGATAGCAATGCACCTTTGCTAGGGTTTTGTGTAGTGTTCTGTTTCCAGATGGCCGCGTAAACGGATGGTCGGGCGCCCAGAGAATCCAGAGAACTATAGGACTGCCAGGAATAGATGTAGCCATGACTCGATGGTACGATGGGTAGTTCCTGCACTTGCGCTGCTGACCGGTTCATCATACACCGCTAAGACCTATCTTGCTATATTTCCTTGCCATACGGTAAGCAGTGTGAAGGAGGAGGGTATGTCTTGGTCACTAGGCTCAAGCCCAAGCTCGCAGCACCAAGTGTCGGAGCGGAGATCTGGCAGGCCGGAGAAGCCACCAGAAGCCTCTAGCCTAAATTAGCTTTATTCCCCGCGCTTATTTTAAAGAGGCTAGTATTATTATATATTATTTTTTTTATTAAAAATTTTATATATAGATTATTTCTTAACTAGATTTACTTATTATTTTATAATATTATTATTTATTTTATAATATTTTTATTTTATTTTTATAAATAACTTTTTTAGCCTATTTAATAGGTTATAAGCCCTTATTTTTTTTAATTTTTTATTTATAAATACTACTTGTTCCTATTTATTTTATACCTAAAAATTTATATATAATTAATTAAAACAGCGGCGCCGGAAGCCCTAAAATTTTAATTAATTAATTTTAATTAATATTTATAAATACCTTTACTTTTAATATATTAAAAGGCTTTATAACGCCTAATATAATACTTGTTATAAAGTTTATATTCACTTTTATTATTATAATAAATTAAGTAATAAATTTACTAAAAAAGGCTTTTATACTTAATATAGTAAATAAGAAATTAAAAGGTAGGAAAAATTATAATATATAAACCTAGTTAATAGGCCTAAAATTAAACTTATATAATTTTAAGGTACTTATTAAAAAATATTTTACACCTAATATTAATATTAATATTATACTAAAAATAAGTAATTATATTAAAAAAGGTTTAAATATAGCTTGTAAAAAGTTTAATAAATAATATTATATAAATAATATAAGTAAATTTAAAAAAAGGTGCTATATATAAATAAGTTTTATGCTAAAATTAACTAGGTTTTTAATAAAAATAAATATATAATAACTTATATAATTTAAAAAAAGGCTATTATTATTAACTAGGCTAGCTATAGTATAGTTTAAAAGTTTATTAAAATATTTTATAAAAAGTATAAATTTAGTAATAAATTTAATATAATTATTACTTTATACTAGTAAGTTTTTTTATTTTTAAAAAAATTACAGGCGGAAATATTTTTATATTATAAAGTAAAGTATATTTTAACACCCACAAGTGTTATTAAAAAAATAACTATAATATAATTTTAAAAGGTTTATTATAAAATTTTGAATAAAATAAAGGTTTAGACTTTTGTTCACGCGGTAGTACTAAAAAATAATAATAATAATAATAATAAAAATAAAAGTAGGAACAAGAATAATAGTTTTAAATTTAAAAATAAAAAATAAAACACACCTTATTAAGGCGTTTTAAAAAAAGGCATGTTTAATAAGCAGTGGCAAAAAAAAGGATAGCTTTAAAAAAGAATTACTAAAAAATATATATAATTATTATAATAAGGGACCTTATAATCCTTTAAATTATTATTATTTAGTATTAAAAAAATAACTATTAAGCTAGTAATTATTAGGCAAGATTTAGTGCTATAAGTTTATTAAGCTAATAAATTTAAATAATACTAAGAATAGTAACGCTAGCAAGCCTAGCACCACTATAGTTTTTTTAATAAACTTAGGGTAAATATAATATAAATTTTAGTATATATAGTATTATACTTTTTATTATATTAATAATATTAAAGTTTTATAATTAATAGCTTATAAATACTAGCTTTAAAATTCCTATATATAATAATAAAGACCTTATAAAGAATTTTTATATTATTTAACTTTTATAATATGTATTTACTATATTAAATAGTAAAAAAGTAATTCCTAAAGAAAGAGGTAAAATTAACCTATATATTTAGTTAAATAATAGTAAGGTATTAATATTATAATTTAATTACATATAGTCTCCTAAATTACTATATAATATTTTACTAATAAAAAAAATTAAAATAGACTTAGGCCTCTGGTATAATAATAAATTTTTAAAAATTTAATAAATAAAAAATAATAAGGTTATTTTTAAGGTTTATATTAATAAAGACGTGCCTTGGCTAAGTAAACTAAATATTAATATTAATAAAAAAGCAAGCTTTAATATAGCTTTAGTTTTAATAAAAGTTTAGCATAGGCGTTTAGGCTATATATTAGTATTATAACTTAATAAAAACCACGCGTAGTTAAATAATACTAATAATAAAAAATTTAATAAATATTATAATAATAAAATAATTATAAATTATAAAATATATAAGCTAGCAAAGTTAAAAAAAGGTTTCTAAAACTTTTTAATAATAAGTTATAAAGCCCCTATAAATAGTTTATATTAATATTTAATTAGTAAAGCCTTAGGGTATTTAAAGATATAACTATGCTTTATTAATGCTTAATAATAATTTTAGGGATTATTTTTGCTAGTTTTTACACTAAAAAATAAGGTAATAAACACGCTTATTTACATATATTTATAATAGCTTAATATAAGTAAAGTATATATTATAAAAATAAAAAGTAATAATACTAGGGATTTTAATAATTATAAGGCCTGGTATTACTAAAATTAAACTAGTATTAAATTTAAAGAAACTTTAAGCTATATACCTAAAAAAAAACAGGAAAATTAAGTAGTTTAGTAAATATATAATATAAATTACTTATAATATAATAATAAATATAAAGTTATTAAGAAAGCTATAGCTGCTAGTGGTTAAATTTGTATTATATATTTAAAATTAACTTATTTAAAAAGGTAAAATAAAACTACTAGTAAAAAAATTTATAAAAGGCCTAGAAATATTAGTGCTAAATAATACTTTACTAAAGTATTTATAAATTTTTAAATATAATACCTATGTTTATATCCCTGCGGAAATAAAAATAAAAGCTTTAAAAATAATACCTAAAGTAAAGAAAAAAAAACTTATAAAATATAAAAATTTTTATATTTATAAAATATACTTCCCGGAGTCCGGAAAGATTATTAAATTAAAAAATATTATATTTAAAAAAAAAAAGATAATAGTAAAGCACCTTTACTTATTTTATTACCTTTACTAACTAATTTTAATAAGGGCCCTGGTGGTTTAGTTAGTTTTAATAAATAATTTAAAATATAAAATTTTGATGATAATAATTTACAAGTGGCTAATAAAAGTAAAAAATTTATTATAATTAAAAGAGTTTGTAAGACCGACAAGTCTCAAAGATCTCTACTAATAATAAAAATATTAATAAAGGAATTTAACTAATAAAAATAGAGTATTTTAAACCCTGTTAAATAATACTAAAAAAATTACTTAAAAATTTAAAAAAAAGGCTGGCCTTAAGGCCACCTTTATAAACCTTTAAGTTATACTTAGCTATTTTTAATTAAAAAGTAAATATAGGTTTAAATATTCTGCGCATGGGTTTTTATTTTAATTTATATTTAAAATTTATTTTAGCCTTGCCTAACTAGTAGCTAAAACCCTAAATATTAATAACTTAATTAAGTTATATAATTTAATATAATAATAAGGTATACTAAGCCTTTAGCGGCCTAAGGCTAAAGCTTAAGTTACTTAAAATACTAATTTTAAACTAATAATAAATTAGCTTTAGTAATATTAAATAAAAAAATATTAGGCTTAATAATTTTTTTTTAATTAAAGGGTTGTCCGCGACCCGCTACTAAATTAAAAAATATAATAATAATAAAATACTATTATTATTATTAATATTAATATTAAATACAGCTTTATTATTACTATTCTTAACTTTATTAAAGTATTATTTAATATATTAATTTTAGTGTTTTATTCTTATTATTTATAGTGCTTTAAATAAAATATAATATTTATGTATAATTAAAAGGGGAAAGGTGGCACTTTAATAATACCTAGTATAAAATATAAATTATAATATAGTTTATAATTTTATAAACTTTTAAACTTATTAAATTTTTTRCTAAATAAAAAATTACCTTTTTTTATTATAGTTAAAAAAAAGTTCTTTTAGGCACTGCCCTGGCTTTTTAATAAGTAAAAAAAAGCACCTTATTATAACTATAATAATTTAAAATACCCCTACCTTTGCCCCTTATACTCCTATTATAGTATAATTATAAAATCTTTTTAATATAATATTTTTACTAACTTTAAAAGCCCTTGGCCTTCTTAATTTTTTTTATATTTATTTTTTTAGGTTTAATAACTTTAATTTTAATTAGTTTTTAGGTAATAATAATAATAGTAATAACTAGTATAACTTATATTTAATAGGTACCTTTAAAATATATAATAAGGTTATAGGTAATAATTTAGTAAGTTTTTTTTATTTTAATAACTACTAACTAGTGGCGCTCCGCCGGCGCTTTATTAAATATATTAATTTTTAATTTTATAATAACTATTTTATTATTTTATTATAGCTCCCGCGCTTACTAACTTACCTTTTTTTATTTTATCTTATATTATATTAATTATTATTATTATTAATACTTTTATTATAGGTTTTATATTACTACCTTCTTAGGCTTTTTCTCCCCTAGCCTTTAGCTTTTTATTTTTTATAAATATATTTTATTTTTAACTAGTTTACTAGTAAAATAGCTTTAATATAAATATTAGTTAATAAAAAATAGGTTTACTTATAGTACGCGAAATATATTTAAGCATATAAAAATAATAGGTTAATTAGTAACTTTAATTACTATATTTATTTAGTTATTTGGCGTAATTACTTTTATTATATTTAT